CAGGCCGGGATCGGCAGGAGCGGGGGATACGGCGTGACAAGAGGGACTCGGGGGCAGGAGCCCGAGTCCGGCAGGTGGGAGCCGCGGCCGCAATGCTCACCTGTTCTGGAAGGCCGCCGGAGCGACGATCAGGCACACCAGGAGAACTTTCCCACACATTCTAAGCGCGCCGCCGCTGGAGGGCCCGCTGGCGTCCCGGGAGCCTCTCCACGCGCGGGGAGGCAAAAGGAGCGGCTGACTTCGCGCCGGGCGTCGAGGGCAGGCAGGCGGGCTCCCTCGCCAAGAGGGGAGGCCACCCAGGCGCGGCCCCGTCCCCGTCCCCGTCCTTGTCCTCTGCTGTCGCCTCCTCTGGAGCGCAGCGCATCCACCCAACCGGGAGAGGCTCTCCGGCGATTGGGCAGAGGCGCGGCGCGGCCAGGCGACGGGGAGGGCACCGGCCGAAGCGAGGAGGAAGACACTTGTGGCTGCCGGCAGCGGAGGAGGAGGAGGAGGAGGACCCGCCCGGCCTAGAAGTGCCCGCGAAGGGGCGGAAGCTCAGCCCCGCCGAGCCACCGCTGCGAGCTGCGCGGGAGCCGGCCAAGCGCCCCGGGACCAGGGGTTCGCGGAAGCCGGGAGACAGCGCCGTCGGGCGAGGAGTCCGGGTTCCGGTCTCTGCTCGCCTCCCGGCCGGGCTGCCTGCACTCCTTCCCGCGCCTTCTCGCCCGCCTCCGGGGAAGGAACTGGCCCAAGTTGGGCCCGGCAGGCGTGCCCTCCCCGCCCGTCCGCGCGCCGCGCTCCTCTTCGCCCGGGCGGCCGCCGAGTGTGCGGGAGACGCAGCCGGGCCGGCGGGCCGCTCAGGCGGCAGCCAGGTCCTAACGCCGCGGCGCTTCCTCGACGTCTGCTCGGGCCAGGCTGCGCGGGAGTTGCGCCGGCGCTGGTGCCCGGAGCTGTGGAAGCGAGAACAGCCCGAATCGGGCCGGCGATCGCTGAAGGGGCCGGGAAGCGGCTGTTGGGGGTGGCCCCGGCCGTCGAGGCAGAGGCGGGGGAAGGGCCTCGGCTTGGCCGCCGGGGGGGTGCCTGGCCCTGGCTTTTTGATCGCCCAGGTGGCTGCCTTCGGATAGAGGGAAGGTGCTCATGTTGGGTGTTGGCGCTGTGGCAGAACCAGGTGGGCGTCAGTGCCCGACGGGTGGGCCCCAGTGCAGACCCACAAAAGTCAATTTGAAGCAGTGAAAACGAAGAAGGGTTCCTTTCTATTGGGACGGTTACACTTCAGGCAGAACTGCGGGAACCCTCCTTCGAACTCAAAGGAAGATGTGTGTGTAGGGGGGGCACATTGTTCTGAAGTAGACAGGAAGCGGTCCTGCTCCTTACAGAAGAACAAGAAGTCAAAGCCTGAGAAGGTGAGAGCAGTTCCCCCAGAGCATCTTTCCTGGGACGGGTGGGAGGGGACAGAGAGAGAGGGGGGAAGGTAGACCTTCCGGACCTCTGCTCCCAAACCCCTCCTGGCCTTTTGGGACAAAGCGGTGCAGAGAGAGAGAGCGAGAATGCTCAGAGGACTCCAGGTCCACATGCTCACAATGTTTTCTGCACAAAACATGACTCCGGAAAGTTTCTTTTCTGGATTGCAGCTCCGAGAACCTACTGGCCCTCCTGGCCAAAGGGTTCAGGGAGTTCACCGTCTGAAAGAAGGAACTTTCCTGAGGTCTGCCACAACATGTTCCCATTAAGCCAACTCTGCTAAACACAAATACAGAATATTTTCTTCCTCCTTTCCTGAGGGGATTTGTTAAGGAAGTATATTCCAGGTGAGAAAGCTTTCCAAAGTTGTGTGTCGGGAAAAACAGAACAAAATCATGAGGTTTTAGCTCTCACAAAAGCATTCTCTGGACTCACAAAAGCTCCTCCAACAGTGTTGCTTCTCCCTGTCCCCTTCTGACTCCCGCTTCTTCTACGATGGTGGTGGAAGCCGCAGGGTGAGGGAACCCTGGAAGGTTAACAGGATGTGACAGGAAGGAGGCTTGGGAGTGCAGCTGAGTAGGCCTGCCTGCCTCGATCACACTTTTGCTCTGATTCTTGTCCTGCCTGGTGGTGACAGCTGCCAGTTGAACCTGCCTGCTTCCCACGGACATGTGGATCGGCCTAGGCTGGCCTAGGCCGTCCTGGGATTTGGGGAAGATGACAACTCACTGGCAGCTTCCAATGCCCTCCTGCTGCTGCTCTTCCTCTTCCTCCTCCTCCTCCTCCTCCTCTTCTCTGAAGTCCCACAGGACACTCTTAGGAAGCAAGTTGGATGAAGGTTTTCCTGTGCTACACAAGTGACCACCTGGCAAAGCATCAATGGACAGAAGTAAACGGGATTATGAAAGCCAGCACACCTTGCAAGCATGAAGATACTGCTCCTGCTGCTCCCACCACCACCTGCTGCTGTGGGGGCTGCTCCCACTTCTGCCATCAGCCACTCATCTCGGGGAGGGGGGCAGGGGACAACTGATGTTTCATGCCTGGGAAGGGGCCCAGTCAGCGGGAGGCATGGACCCCCCCCCCAGATGGCAGCATGGGGCCCAGCTGGTGGAATTGCCAAGAGAACTGGGGAAAGCAGAGCAGCCATTGGAGATCTGAAGTGGTTCTACAATATTTTTCTTTGGTACCCTTGCTTCTGCACCCATGTAGGAGATATGTCTACCAATGGATGTATACAGAGAACACCAAAGCTGTGCCAAATCCAGCAAGAGAACAGTTCAAGTCCCTCCATTGCACTCCTGTGCTGAACTGGCAGCTCAACAAGACAGCAAGTGCCTTCACCTGCTTTCTTGTTTGGCACAGACGTTGGCATTGCATTTCCAATCAGCTCCCAAGGCCAGGCCAGTTGCTAGCAACTCTCCTTGGACACATGCTCCCCATGCTTTCCCCTGGACTGAAGAAGGGGGAGTGTGGTCCCTGGCATAGGTGAGGTGTTCTCCTGAGAAAGAGCTGTAGAGGAGATGCTCTCTGACGCCCCCCAGCCTTCGGCTCATGGACCATTAGCATCTGCCACTCTGCAGCTGGTTTGGGGAACAAACAGCATGCTAGGCCCATGTGCAGCATCCATGCCTCTGGGCCAAGAGGTAATGAATGAGAGAAGCAGGCAGGCAGGCAGGCAGGCAGGCAGGCAGGCAGGCAGCTCATGGCAGCCAGTTTTGCCCTCCCTTGGTAGCAGATTACTTTTCCAGTCAGAGGAGTTGCCTGGAGGGGTGCTTCCCTGAGAAGAATCAAACAGTCATGCCTTGCAGCGAAAGGAAGCCAGCAGCACCTTCTTGGATCTGGCTATCCCTCAGCCATGGCTTTTGTGAGAAGACTTTTTGTGAGGGGTCTACATGCCAGGGGTTCCTGCTGAGGTGAGGACAGGAACAATGCCATTCCACCATCATCTTATCTGAGTAGATGAGGGAGAGCATCAAGGCACCAGGGCCGGGGTCTGGTGGGCTTCCTGGCTGGCCCTGAAGGGAGAAGGAGAACTGGGACCACTAGACCGAAGCACCGAGGAGGTTGGGGAGCTGCGGCATCACACCCAGACCAACAGCAGGGACGCGGCTTTCAGTACGGAGGAAAGTGACTGGAATAATAAGTGACGGACAATCGGATGCCATGAGGGGGAGGCAAGGGCAGTGTTGTGTCTTTGCTGTGACCTATTTAACAGTGTCATCATCGGATGTAGAAACTTCCTCCAGGTTCTAAATATAAGTGACAGTCCATCGGTCTCCCAATCCTGTTATTCATAGCTAATCAATAAACACAGACACCAGCATCAGCACACACAGACACACACAGACACAGACACAGACACAGACACACACACACACACACACACACACAGACACACACACACACACGGGGGGGTGGGGAGGCATGCCTTGGGACTGAGCAGGGTGTTCCTATAGTTTATGGGGAGGTTGGGTGAGGGCTTTCTCCATCTTTGTGGAGAAAAGTGGAGGTAGGGATGCAAAGAGGACCTTGAAATGGGGATGAGACGTGCCTTCTCCAAAAGCTGAGCTGTGGGAGTTATTTGGCTCTTTGCTGCCATCACCATTGATCAGTTCCAAAAATGAACCATTAATGTACTTTGTTATCTTCCCATAAATGAAGGAGGAACCCACTGGCCCTTCAGCAAACTGACTCCCATGTCAAGTCTGTGGATGAGTCAAGCCTTTGCTTGGCTATAATGCTCTTTGGGCTTCCCCTCCAGACAAAGTGCGGCATCTCAGCTTTGCCCTCCGCTTGGGCATGGAGTGGGGCAGGTGCAAGGCCGATGAACCGCTGAGCTCCTTGGACAAAGGGAAGAAGAAGACGTGTGGGCAGCCTTGCTGACTTCCAGGGTGTTGGCTGACGTCTCTGGGGCTTTGCTTGGCTCCCTTGGATCTCAAGGTCAGGAGGAAAATCTCAGGGAAAGCAGCTGATTAGAAAGAGGAAGAGGAGGAGGAGGAGGAGGTCTGGGTTTTGTGTGACAGGCAGCTTTAGAGATGGGACAGGTCTCTCTACTCCACAGTTCCTAGACTCTCTTTCAGTGCAAAGATGTTTCTTCAGGTGCGGCCCAAACAACAGGCACTAGTGAGTGGAGAGTGCTAGAGCTGGTAGCGCACATGCTTGGACCTAGAGTGCCCTTTGGAGTAAAGTAGGGGATGCTTGATGCATTTTCTGAACCAGGCGACTGAGAAGCAGCTCCAACCACTTTGTCTGCCTCTGCCTCAGAGGCATGAGAAGGACCTGATCCACCCCTTTGGTTTGGGCTCTGGAACCATAGGGAAAGGCATGCCGCTGACTTGGTGGCCTCCAGGTGGCACAGAAGCATCAGCCCTGGACTGGAGTGGCAAGACCCAGGAGTCCTGCCACCTGGTAATTAGCACGCACACATGCGTGCATGTGCATGCGCGCATACACACACACACACACCAGTGCCGTGCATGGAGGAAACCAGTCTGTTCTACTGTTGAGACAGGTCTCTAGAGTGTGGGTCTTTTCTTAGAGGCAGAGGCCATGCAAAGCATCCCCTCTCTCTGGGTCTGCTTTGGAGACTCTCTTTCCCTTCCTCCCTCTCTCTTGTCTTTCCATAAAACTGGGGGTGGGGGAGTTGGGAAAAGCCTGTCTCTTGCTCCAGTTGGGTTTGAGGGTGGGGCAGGGGGGGAGTGCTTCCAGGAGTGATCTTTCAGGAGATCCTGCCTGCCTTCTAGAATTCCTTTCCTGCCCAGCCAAGCTCTGAACCCTGAGTCCCTTTCTTTGCCCAGAGGTGGCAGCCTCTGTGCTTGTGAGTCGGCTGCATTTGTAAAAGGATGAAACCGCAGGGGCTTGCCTTGCCTGTTTGGTCAGCCTTTCACAAGAGAAAGGAGAACAGCCAACTGATTCTGAGCTACACGGGCAGGCGTTCAGGGGACCCTTTTCGGTACCGGAGCAGAAAACCTTCTTGGCAGCAAACCTACCCAAGTTCTGACACACAC